ATATATATATATATATATATATATATATATATATATATATATATATATATACATATATATACATACATAGATGGTTCGAGGCTGGGTCTTCCAACATGGCAATGACCGGAAGCACCAGAGTCTATGGAGGGAGCTCAAACTCTGTATTTCTGACAGCCCAGAAACCTGAGTGATCTAAACTGAAGATCTGTGAGGAGGAGTGGGCCAAAATCCCTCCTGTCCAGTGTGTGCAAAACTACAGGAAAAAGTTTAACCATTCCAAATGCAAACAAAGGCTACTACCAAATATTAACATTGGCTTTCTCAGGTGTCCAAATACTTATTTGCAGCTGTATCATCATTGTGATATATGGATTTTTTTAAAACAGATTATGTTTCTCACAGTGGACATGCACCTAAGATGACAACTTTACACCTCCCCTTGATTCCTAAGTGGGAGAAATTGCAAAATAGCATGGTGTTCAAATACTTATTTTCCTCACTATCTTTAGATTTTGAAAGTGAGGAAATCAATGGAATGTGGTCCTTTGTGCTTTGTGACCCATTAGGGGGTCTCAGTGCTGGGCACCCTGCAGCTGGGAGTTTTATGGCTTTAGATTTAGGGTATTTTTACAGGGATTATCCCCTCTCAGATAGTACTGAGGAGGACAGAGAGGATCTGGATAATATCTAATGAATTTAGATACTGTGAGTCACATTACATTGTTGGGCTGGTGTTGCTACTTGGTTTTGTAGCATGTTCACTGCAAAGATCTTTGTATCACTTACTGGTTTAATTGTTCTTCTTATATGAGCTAACGCGCTAACACATAGGACATGTTTTCAGCAATAAATAAATGTAAGCAGTAATTAAATTATAAGATAAAAAATAATTATGTAAATATATTTTCTTTTGCTTCTTTTATTTATTCACCTTTACATAATTACTTTATTTATTTAGTATCATTATAATTTTTAACTTGTTTCTATACGTACATATTCCCGTGTAGGCCTTTATGTGTTTCAGTTTTTCTATTGTTTCACTCTTTTTATCTCTTCCAACCTATTTATTCATGTTTGACCTTTTTTCCATTTTTGTATGCATTTTGCATGTATCATTATGTAAATAAGGGGGAGGTGATCTTAAAGCGGACAGTTTCTGTCTATTGGTTGGTTAGACTGCATAGAATTTACATGCTACAAGGCCAGAGACAGTCACAACAAAGATTGCTACCTACCATCTAGAAGAGTGTGCAGCCTTGTAAAATGTAGGAACTCTTTTTCTAAGTTTGTTTTCTCTTCAGTTGATAAGTGATAAAACAGCATCTACAATTTATGGAAGATTTACACAGTTAACAAAGAAAAGGCTGCTATCAAAGCAAATTTGCACTCATGAGTGACGTATGTGTAAGCGAAGCGAGTGAAGAGACTGTTGGCGTGTCTGAGATTGGATTAGCGTAAGTGTGATTTGGAGGGATGCGTGTGTCATTGTGTGAGTAAAATGTGTTGATGTATGTTTATAGAAATATATTTCTGTAAATGGTTTTAGTAAAAGGAGTGTTTGAGAGGCTAAGGATGTTTTTGGTGGATGTTCAACCTGGCCGTGGAATACGGATAGAAAATAGGAATCTTGCTATAACTTGGCACCCCCACTTTTTCTTTGTATTTAAAAAGTTAATAAAAGGTTGTGCATTGTCCCTGTATGAAATAAAAAATATACAGTGACAAAATTCCTGACTTAATTTATTGTGTGGATGCTCTATATATATATATATATATATATATATATATATATATATATATATATATATATATATACATAGCTTTCTACCTTTTTTTATATCTTACGTTATTTTTTTCAAGTCAATTTACAGTAGGTAACTATCATCCGAGGTAATTGGTCAAATGCCAAAGAATTTCTACTGCCACATATAAGTATATTTGCTGAAAATAATGGGAGTATGACTTTGACAAACCTAACACCTATTTTAACACAAATACAAACCACGTATTTCTTGCTCTTTGGGTCAAAATAACACAAACTTAACCACTGACTAAATCGGCATGTTCCACAGCTCCACAGCTTTTTTAATTTGTCATTTCACATCTTTGAATTACCTGGAGAGGAAATCCCAGCTTTTTTGGAAGCATTCATGCTCTTCAGCAATCACACAACTTCTATTGTTTCATTAGTGAGAAATTGCAGAGTGGCCACCTGCTCAGAGGCACTTTGGAAGGTTTTGTAGGGCCGTTTCTTGAATAATGAATGCATAGGAAGGCCTAATATAGAACCTTATATCACTTACCTTCTCTTCCTACCTTGTCTTTATGTGTGTGTGTGCTTGTATGAAGGCTGTGTGTGTGTGACATGGACAGACTCGGACGAAATGAGTTTATTGGGGAGGTGAGAGTGGCCCTGAAGAAGCTAAAGGAAGGAGAGAGCAAACGCTACAATATGGGGCTAGAGAGAATTGCACAGGTAAGAATAACATCTAGAATTTAATGGAATTTTAAAAAAACTAATTGAAATTCACCATTCTTTGTTTTTGTAAAATGTTGATCTGCTAATACCAGCTTAGAACCTTTGGTCAGTTTTTTAAAAGGTCCAGGAGTCCTTGTGGGCTTGCACTAGCGCCACAATCTTTCTGGAAATGTGCTAATACTCTCACACCAACATGAGGGTATCATTCCCAAATTGTAACGCCACATGCTTGTGTAAACGCTCCTAGATAGGTGTCAAAACCTAATTGAAAAATTGAGCGTAAGTCAGTTTACCTTCCAGTTCACAGTAAGCCACTATTTTTTGTTGTCATGACCAAGATGACTGAGCATTTAGACAGGCATACATCATAGGAACTTTTAGAAGCATTCCCTCTGTTTTTTAATCCTTCCTGTTGTGAACATTAAGTTATTTTTGGAATATGTATCATGGGAGAGATAATATTGAGATTACAGCCCTTAGCTTCTAGTATGGACAGACATATTAATAGCATGGTATCAGAATTGGCTAAAATCATTCCAACTACATAAATTACAGGTATGAAAGGTGCTGTTTTTGTGACAAACCAGTAAGGATGAAGACTGCAGCGCCAAGAAGACATTATGTCATTTGCTCCTACCTGATGCATGAGTCTGCCCCAGAAGAGAGTAGAAGTGAAGATGGTGTGGATGTCGTTTTGCTGCTATTTACATTGAATGTTCATTATAAGTGATGCATAGAGGAGCCAAAAAAAAAAGAATAAATAATAATAATAATAACGATTGAACATTATTGATCACACATTGGAGAAATTTATCTCTGCATTTAACCCATCCTTTTGGGGAGCAGTGGGCTGTCATTTGGAGCGCCAGGGGAAGTTTTTCTTCAGATTTTTACTTCATAAAAAAAAATAAAACAATGGAGAACATTGTTTTTTATTTGTACATATCCTTACAACTTTTATGGGTATATATATATATATATATAAAAAAAAATGATATCAAGCATTTGAATTGATTTCTTAAACTTCCTTTTGGCTCTGAGGTAGGGGCAGTTTTATAAGGCACAAACAGCAAGTAAAGAAGGCAGGGAAATCACACTCAATCACGCTGCAATGAAAAAATGTCAACAGCAGCTAAGATGCCACTGTTTATAGTGGCAACTAATAAATAAGTAGCCAAAAACATGTAAAATGTCTTCAATTGTTTATAAACAAGAAAACATATTGTCTCTAAATTAGATTTAAGGATGTATAAAAATAATTTGAATATGTAAGAATCATTTGGAACATTGACCGAAAAAATCGTACAGATTCCGAACGGCGCTCTGGCTGCCCCGCAAGACGGAAAAAAAAAAGCAAACATTAAGTTTTGGATTTCTGAATCAGGGATATTATTCTTTCCTGTTTGTGCTGATCAGAGCAAACCTGTTTTTTGTCAGTACTCTGACTGATAAATAATTTGGGCTGCACATATTCTTCTTCCTGTTATGCTTCTGTAGCGGCCTTTGATGAACTGAATAAGGACATTTGCCAAACCATTTTTAAAGGACACCCATGTTTAATTAAACACATTCATCCGAATCTATCATTTAAAGAGAATTAATGTTTGAATGATAAAACTGACTCCATAGAGATTTTTTTCATACTGGGATTGAACAGTATTAGATCATGCACAAGAACAGCTGATTTTATGTTTTGTATAAAGCCAGTTTTGTATAAAGCAGCTTGCACATGTCTGGCGGAGGCTGGGGTAATTTTTGATAGGCACCCAAAACAAAAAATAAAAAAAAAATAATGTTTTCCCTTTTTCTTTGAGTTTTTAAATATTTTATTTTGTGTGGTAATGAAATTAATAAAGGGTCCTTTCAAAGAACAAAGATTGGTTTCTCGTATTTTAATTGTTAGTTTAAAATTGAAAAAAACAAATGATATATGGAATCAACGCAAGCACCCACTTTGAAGGGACCATTGCCCTCCATACTAAGCCTTATTCCACAAAGGAGAGACAAAAACCTTTAACTTAGAAAGGACAAGATGTAAAAAAACACATAGTCTTTAAGTTTGTCTCTGGAAAAAAAATCACAGAATTGGTTAGTGGTCAGTTGAGTCATTAACCATCAAGCATCATTGAATTCAATTAAATTAAATTCAGCTTATTTATTTTGATGACAGATAAGAGTCTCAATACGATCTTTCTACTTTTAACTTTTCTCTGTTTGAGACTCTCCAGGTTGAACTGGTCTAAACAGAGAAATCTTGTTTTACCACACTGAGCCATCCTGTCATCTGTCTTAAGTACTGCTCACTTTTTCTCTTCTGGGGCTTGAATGAACTGCTGAAATGTTGTAGAAAAATACAGCCTCCTTCACTTTCAGACCACTTTTTGACTTTTTTGCCCCCGGGTAAAAACACACAAGGAGAATGTTTTTTGTCAGCTCTACACTTAGCACTGTGTTGTAGCCTATATTGACAAAAAGATTAGGTTTTTTAGTTTCCAACTGGTCAAAGCAATCCAAGCTACAATGTTAATAGACTGTTTGTAAACAACTAATGATTTCTCCTGTTACTTTGTTTCAGAATAAGGAAACTAACAATCAGTTGGTCGAGCAGGGTGCTGTCGTGGCAGAGGAAGAGGTAATCAAAAATTGTTCCTTACCGTCATGTAAAATGCAATGTCTCGGGAAACCGAGGCCATACGAAAGTGTAATTACACATTTCTAATCTGTATATGAAGCATGAACTTCATTAGTCTAGAGAGCTGTAAAACGGCTCTCATGGACATCCTATCAGCAGTGTGAAAATGATAGCAGTCTAGTGGTTTACTCCTCTCATGGCTTCTACCTTATTTCTCTTCATGATTTGGAGACAGAAGCTAATAGCCTCTGTTCTCTGATTAGATTCGGATTTCTTGGTTCACCCCGAAGATTAAAGTTGGAGGAGAGAAGTGCCTTTTGGCTATAGCTCTGATAAGGCCTGTAATTACAAGGTTTAATTTAAAACCTCAAGGCACACACTGTGGACTTAATAGTAAAGCTTTTCAAATAAATCACTAACACTCCTTTTAATTACTTTGGTAAATTATTTTGAAGAAACATGGCATAGTTGGGTGATATCTGCAGTCCTCCAAGCAGAAAACATCAGCGTGTGTCGGTAAAATCATTTGTGTTTGTGCCCCCAGCGTGGTCGCATCCTGGTGTCGCTATGCTACAACACAGAGAAGGGCTGCCTGCTGGTTGGGATCATACGCTGTGCCCATCTGGCTGCCATGGACTCCAACGGCTACTCTGACCCATTTGTCAAAATGTGAGTTAACATTGTAAAAAAATCAGATGCAGATACATGCAGATATCGTTGAAATGTCTTTGAGTTAAAAGAGAATGCAGGTTTGGAAAATAGACTGAATTAAATACAACACATTGTATCAAGGAAAAGGTTATTAGTCTTATTTTTCTCTCTGATTATTTTCAATTATTTAAAATGTTCATGATATACTAGTTTTAAAAAAGAAGAACATAAAATATGAATGCATTAAAGTATTTGTCCCTAAATGTATCTTTTGCTCTTTAATATTGAATTTAACATCCTTAGTGAAATGTGTGTATAATTTATTCAAGATGTATAATAACTACATATGCAAAATGTTAAAAAATAAAATATATATTTTTTTCCAATGACTCAGATGTTTTATAAGGCAGAGACTATATTAATTAACTTATCAAATAGGATAATTAGGAATTGTTTTATCTAAAATTGAGGCATGAAGTAAACAATTTTGAATTGAACATAAACAACACTTTATTTTTTGGGGACTGTAGGTTTAATGTGGAACTTGTTATACATTTGACCAAAGTAAAATTGAAAGAGCTCTGGGGTTTAAATGTATTTTTTTTAAAATAAGTTTGCTGAAGTTGATTGGGCCTCATGAAACAGGGAGCCAGGTGGATTGGCATTAAGTTGAGGACTACCAGAAACAGGGGCTACAATGGAACAGTCGAAATGTTAAGGAGATGTTAAACCAAACAGTTTAAGACATTCTTCAAAGAAATGTCTTTATAGGATACAACAACTGATCTGTAGAATAACAGATTCAAATGGAAATTACAACATTTGGGTTCTATTATTGCTATTATCTCTAATATTGTTAAAATCATTACCAAATTGGAAATCATTTATTATGTGTATTTTCATAATTAGTTATTTTTATTATTATCAAATCTTTTGTTGTTTGTTTTATTTTAATGTGGAATCCAAGATAAATCCATCACATGTATGTATACAGACAGGATAGGGTAAATATGGTTGGGATTAGCTCACTCGGTTTGAATATAAAATACATTATCTGCCCTCTGCTGCGATGACTCATTAGTGTTACTATCATATCTTCAAATTTCATTAATCTTTGTTTTACATTTTCTTATTTAATCTCTTTTGTATATATGAGCCAATGTTTTATCACAATGTTTTTGAAAAGGTGCCCAAAGGTCCGTCCGTCC